AATCATCATCAGAAAAATTACCTAGTGATCATGAAAAATACTTTGCTGTTTTGCCAAATTTCAAGGTTTATCTGCATACATAGAAAGACATTTTTACTTTATAGAAAATGCTTTTCATACATCAATAGCCCTTTGGAATTTATGGCAACAATCTGGTATGAGTCGTAGATTAACACAACTTTACATCTCTACATGAGGTGTTCAGTTAGAAAAGGGGACAATATGTGACATGGGACAACATTTCATGTATGTGAAATGCTCAGGTTTAATACCATTTCAGCTAAATTGTCAAAATAAAAAGCTTCGTGGATCAGAAGACTCAAAATCACAGGTTATAGTAAACAGCTTCTCATGTAATCAATGTTAGTTTTCTCAAATCTTAAACAATATGTAGTATAACTGTCCAATGATTGAATGATCAATGATCATAAACTGAAAAGCCCCAAGCATTTGTTTATGATAAAGTAAATAATAGTATGGCGCCTTTTGGCTGCAGATTTTTTGTCCATTGAAATATATTTGCATGAATGTAGGATTTCGCTGCCATATAACGGCTACGATTCCCCAAGCACTAAAGAAATCATAGCTAAAAGTCCTTCGTCAACAACAATTTTAGAAACATCAATCTGCTTGCCATACGCCATATTGACATTAATCGCATCACACACTCGTACAAATTGACTTTGATATATTACATTCATGCATACACTTCACTTGTCCTTTACTTACGATTTTGGATGTAAATTTTTGCTGATAAAACTCAAAACAATGTTGGCTTTCTTTTGAATATCAATGACTGAAATGTCGCTCGCGAGATCGTCTTTGCCAATCATTTACAATTTATCCATAAATTTTTCACCCTCTTGAAAAAATTCACAGTTTGGACAGCAGCAGCATTCATGTCAATATATGAATTTGTAAAAGATTTCCATAAATTCCATCTGATTGTAGTTTAGTTTCCATCATGCTTTTAAAAATTACTATGAGACGATCAAACATTCAATTCAGACAGTGAGCTTGACTATGTTAGTTCAGTTGGCTATCAGTCGAAATCCGTCAAACCAATCGCAATAAAACAAAAATTCAAATGAACCAATTTTAAGATAGCAATTGGACTCCCTTATACGTTCGGCCACTCCTCTTATCAGTCGAGACCATTCCAGACTGTCCACTGATCTGGCCATTGACCAATAAAATAAGCGTTTTTGGCGTTCATAGACTCCTTTATCAGTCGAACTAGTTTAGCCACCCCGCTTATAGGTCGGTTATTCCAGGTCAATTCAAATTCAACTGATCTGGTTACCAACGATATATTCATTGGATTAGTCATTAGTTTTCAATAATAAATAAAGCTGGATTTTTATCACGAAGTAAATGCGATAAGAAAGTAAGAATAATTAACGATTTTTAATTAATATGAATAGGTAATTTTTAAATTTCAAACATCAGTCGCGCGCATTGAGCTCTAAAAGACCTGGAGGGGCAAAGGGGCCTGGACCCCGTGGTCAAAAACATGGCGGTAATGGCGGATTTTGGTTGTCAAAACTTCCACTTTGAGAAAAATTTTTAACATTCGCTCCCTCCCGAAACGGATCTCTATTACTGCTCATAATAATGACAACCACGATACCGTAAGCATAAAATATTGAAAATAATGCTTCAGGTTTTTGTGAAATAGACACACACATTTAAATGAGGTAAATCTACTGTAAAATAACGTATATTTTTTCAAGTAATGCTTTAGCTATATTAGAAATAAATATCAAACGGCAATCTTTACACTGTCAATGTGTTGTTAAGCTTTAATGCATAATCCCATGCGCATTACTTGTGTTTTTGACTGTTTGTGAACAGCTTGGTGCTACTGTCTTTCTTGAATAGATGGTTAAATCTAAGTTAAAATGTCCAAAAAGGAGTTCAAAAAAGTTAGCTTACCCCTACGACTTAAGTCGACTGGAAATATATTATTAGTAGGTATGTAATTTTTTGAGTTTTTGTTGGTAGGATTGATTCTGGATGTCTTATAAAGTATTATGATGTTCTGATAAATCTACTGAGAACTTATGAGGAAAATATCTTGAACTAGGAGAGCAAAAGAACGAAATTCAGAAATTCTCTAATCATGTTGCTGGTTCTGTTTTAAGCCAAGATATTAGAAACTGGATTATTATTGACAACCATGGATCTACTACTGAACAGAACTACGTTAATTTCCCATTGAAAATACTATTTCTTAAATCAAAGTGCATTGGTTTCTCTGACATAACACTTTTCTTATTGCTGCATGAAGGCAAACCTGTTTAAATAATTATAATGTAGGTGAAGATATTTAGCATGTTGTATAATTGTTATTATACAGACATTATTTATAATATTATGGCCTTGTGTAATGTATGTCAAGAACTTATTAATTCTCAAAAATGCTAACCTTCTTGCACTACTTTTCTTTGTGTCCTTACAAATTACAGTTACCTATACTAATTTTTTCTAGGTTCAAACAACTTGACAAATTTTTGAATTTTACATTATGCCTTTGAATTTTTCTTTTTGTCTTTTGGTAAAAATATCAGTGAATGACTTAAAAATCAAGTTTATCTAAAATAGTATTTTGTACAAAGTAACTATACATAATTGGAAAAGTCTCATGTTGAAGGCAGATGTGGCTTCTTTTACTACATTGCTACTCTTATTCTTTTAAATGATATCGTAATTCTTCAAAAGACATAAAAAGTTCTTTGCCATCAATTTTTGCTTCTTCCACATTCAACTTCATTGCAACCAATGCATCTTATGTGAATTTTTAATCACCTGAAATTGAAAAACGTATGGATTTTGTCAGATGATGCAGTACTGTATTTAATGTTTCATGCACGTCATGATAAACTTTTCTTGAGCAAATATTTCAAGGTAGGAGCAAAATTTGGCACATTGAACAAAGTAGTTTTTATCTTGATTTTGATGTACTAACCTGTTTACTACACTGTGTAACAAACAATTCATTTACAGAAACACCAAATGGCATTTATAAAACTTTTAGAATAAAGCAAACCTTTACACACCATCATCATGCTTGTCCAAATCTGTCAAATTGTCCAGGCTAGCTGTTTAATACAGGTAATTTTTATTGTACGACATGTACCAAAGAGCTCATTAATTAATCCTGCACTGCATTTGATTTCAATACAGCTCTGTCCTTAATATTTGCTTCATATTTTCAGAAAAATATCATGAAAAAATCCTCCATTTCAACTCAGTTGAAACAAGGAGTTTTAAGATATGCATATCTCGATAAGAACTGGTTGCTTTGCCTCGTCTAGCAATCACTTAAGTAAAGAACAAATAAGACTGGATAAACATAACTTAAATTATAACTTAGGAGTAAAAACATTCACAAATATATGCCATCACACTTCAAGTATTGACTTAAAACAAAACACTGAACACTTTAAATAGTAAACAATCTTACGTTTCTTACCAGTGTCATGAAATGTTTCCTTTTCTGGCATTACATCAGCCTCCGTACACCAAACAAGTTTGCAGCCTGTTTTAAAGATAAAATTTCTAACAGTTTTTGTGCTTGGCATTGATATTTTATATAATTGCAATTGTGGTTGTCAAATCCGGGTGGGCGAAAAAAATTTCATTCTATGAGCCCGCGTCTTTCCGCTGACTTTGACAACCAAAATCCGCCATGTTTTTGACCACGCGGCCGCGCGCTGATAATTTATAGTAATTTGGTCGACGTTTCCCCTCCAGGTCTTATAGAACTCAATGGTCGCGCGACGCATTTGACATAGTCTAGATCCGCCCCTGAACTCACTAAGCAGTTAAGCAACTCTATAACTTTTCTCCTTTTATAATCAATAACTTTTTGTCAAATTTAAAGTACATTTACTCCTGTACGACGAAAACCGATATTTTTATTCGAAACAAAACAATTGAGAGTGTTTATTCTTCTTCATGTATTTATTATTTGCAAATTGAAAAACTTTGTTATACTTCTTCATCATTTTTCATCACGAACCCTGGTCTATAGTTTGTTTTGTGTTTGAAGTATTTCACATCAAATGATTGTGATGATGCTGAGTGCAAAGCAAAGCTAAAATACGTAAATTCATTTTATGTGAAGTCAAAGCGACCATGTTGGTAGATTATTTCAAAGCCTGCTTCAAACGTTCAACAGAGCATGTACGACGTGTAATATTTTAAATGATTGTTTAAATGCACGTTTTAAGAATCATGAAAAACAAAAGTTATCTTTTGACTCGTTTGTTTTTAATTTTTTTTGTTTTGTCTAACCTGACGCAGAGGTGAAAAAATGAAATTTCGATGAGAGGTGAAAAAATGAGATTTTTCAACCGGCTCGCATTTGCTCATTTTCTTCCACATGCTTTAAACAATATGATACTCTATATATAAAAAACTGGTCTTTTATGACGATGAAATAATATTGTCGTTTATTCAGTAATTTATACACATCAGCATGTTGAAGTAGGATTACCTATTTTTGAAACATACAATGACAGGGTGTATCAAAAAAGAGATCGTTTAAAACTAATAAATTGTTATAATTTCAATACCCTTCACTACACTAGGTTCACGGGTGGGTAAAGTATTGTCACTTACCACTGATACGCAATACATATTACATATCTTTGTCACAAGCACAAAAGTTTCTGGTACTAGCATTTTAAAATAACTTCTAAAAGCAAAATCTTCACAATAATGCACCTTTGGGAAAGAGAGAATTATAAGGTCGTTTTGAGTATAAAAGGACCTAAAATATTAATCGTACACCCTATCATATATTCCATATGGGAACAAATATTCCATATGGATTTAAAAATTTTTGAGTGTTTCATGAATTGATCTCTTTATCGAACAAAAAAAATGAAAAATGTAAAATTGATGAAAATCGCAGAAGTTAGTATTTACACATCGTAGCGCAAGCTAATATATACCACGTCATTATGTATATCGACTTGATAAGGTGGTCAAAAAAAAATATTTGTAATTCTATTCAAATTGCAAAGGTATGCCAATGAGAAAATTAACGACACATATGAGAGGAATATGCTGGGATACTGAACACAATTTTTTTGAAGTGTTTATTCTGTAAATACATTAGATACGCAGTGCATAACAACAATGTTCAACACAGATATTTAAACTAATGCTGTTTTTGTTTAGTTTTGATAAAGATATGGAAAGTAACGATTCTTTTCAATTAAAGCCCATACCATCATCTAAAGATGAAATAATGGCAGAATTAAATGAGATTATCAAAATGAGTGGTGAAAATGCAGAAAAAATTCCCAGGGTGTCACTTCTTCATTTTATGATTTCAAGTATTAATATCCAACGCCATTCTAAATCTGCAACGATATTGCTTGTTGGAAGTAGTGGATCTGGCAAATCATCAACAATAAATCATTTAATGGTAACTGGAGATGAAATTCCTGTTGCTGAGACAAGTAATTATGAATCATCTACGAGAAAAACATCTGAGTATATCATTACTTTTGACGAACCCGAGTATGAAGTGAAGGATTTGGTGATGAGAATTATTGACACCCCTGGCTTCAATGATGTTGATGGCGTTGAACAAGATGCATGTAATATTGTATCTATAAAACGATTTTTAAAAACACATCCTCAATTTCCTTCGGAAACAAAGGTTTATCCAAATCTTGTGTTCATAGTTGACAAAGCCAATAATAATAGAATGGGAGTCAATAGCACACTTTCAAAATCATTGAGAGGTGTCAAGATGTTGGATATTGTTCACAATAGTCATCCCAATCTCGTCGTCATTTTAACACATGCTTGTTCTGTTGGTTACAAGAATGTGAGAAAATGGCACGACACGATGCAAGAAAAGAAAAATTTTGTGTCAGAGCTTGTTTTTCAAACTTTGGGAGTGAGAGCGCCAGTTGTACTGATAGAAAACAATCCTGATGATTATGGACTTGAAAAGAATGGAGATTTCACAGTTCTTCCCAATGGTGAAAGACAACCTCTGAATTTATACAATGCTTGCATTACCTTACTTACAAAAAGCGAAGATGGAGAAGCTGAAGCAGATAAATTTGGGCATGTAGTGTTGAATGCTGCATTCTCACGAATAAAAAAGAATCGACCGACGAATGATCATGAAGTTGAAGCCAAAATTGCAGGAAAAGAGCCATTATCAATTGAGGAATTGAAATTCGTAAAATATTTTACTGAAGCTGCTGAAGTAGGTAGGCTTAGTAACCAAAAGTTATTTCGCACATTTATAAAAATGTTTTTATGGGAAACGAGACTTTTCTGTGAAGTATGACGTAGTAGCTAGACACACATACTTCATTCAACGTGCAAATTTTTTTATGATACTCTTGCTCGCTGTGAAGTATTTATTGTTTTAAGAAATTGTAATTTTTCTTTTCAGAAGTTTATTTATTAATAAGAAAAATATACTACGCTTGAGTAGATAACTTTTTTCAGTAATACATGAGAATTAGAAATTAATAAAGATAATCAATTACGAATGAATATACACGGGTGAGATTTTTAAAGATTGCAACAAAATAGTGCGAGTCCGAAAGACGAGAGCTATTTACAATCTTTACTAATCTCAAGATGGCATGTTTTGCCGTAATTGTACGAGGAACTATAATATTACCAACTATTTTTATATGGCATGCGTCCTTTCCGGCAAAATGGCGCGCTTTGATTGGCTCAGAAACATTTTTGCGGGTCTATTATTATCTCGTAATCGACTACGGTCCAAAATGCGTAATTTTACAGTCAAATGTAAACAAACTTTGTAATGCGAGCAGCATAACGCAAGAAAAAAATGAAACAAAAAACATGTATTTTCGAATGTAAGTCGCAGGAGAAGCACTCGGAAAACAGTTTAACTATCCAGACTATATAATTTGAAACGATTTATTTTTTACTGACAAAAACTGGAAGAGTGAAAGTCAACGCGTAAAAAAAAGCAAAGACAAGAAAGAATGCAATCGTCGTTTCAGATGAAATATTGCTACATGATAAACCTTTTAATTACTTCACTTTCGCTCGCCTTACGGCTCGGTGTGTATAAAAATACCACGGTCCGATATTTCTCCGTATAGACCTCGAGCTCGGTTATTAAGGGCATCGATTGTAAGTAGGAAGTTGTAAATTCTAAGAGATGTGGGTTAATTGCCTGTCAAGCATATGGCTACCAGAACTTAAAAAATATGTGTCTTACTTCAATCCTTTTAGTGCATGCTCTAATTTACTTTTTAGTATTGTCATTTTCGTGCGCAAACTATTTCACAAGATTACTACGATAAAATAACACTATTCTCGCACTGAAAATGTGCAGAATAGTTACTATGTGCAAATATTTTACAGTCACATAAGCCATTAAAAGTCCAACTACCTATTTCACCAAAAGTTTTTGCAGACCTTGTGCAATAACAATAACCATAACCATAACCATAACTAAATTCATAACCATAACCGTAACCATAACAACAACCATAACCACAACCATGACCATGACCATAACCATAACCATACTCATAACCATAACTATAAACATAACCATATCCTTGACCATGCCATGACCATGACTATAACCATAACCATAGCCATAACCATAACCATGACCATGACCATGACCATAAACATAACCATTACCATGACCATGACCATAACCATAACCATGACCGTAACCATAACCACAACCATAACCACAACCATGACCTTAACCTTAACCATAACCATACTCATAACCATAACTATAACCATAACCATAACCACAACCATGACCATGACCATGACCATAACCATAACCATAACCATAACCATGACCATGACCATAACCAATACCATAGCCTTAACCATAACCATAACCATGACCATGACCATGACCGTAACCATAACAATAACCATGACCACGATCATAACTATAACCATGACCATGACCATGACCATAACCATAAATATTACCATGACCATGACCATGACCATAACCCGACCATGACCATAACCATGACCATAACCATAAACCATGTCCATACCTTTTTTGATTAGTCTGAGCGTGTGTTACTTTTCTGCTAATTAACGACATAAGGTTTTAGTTAAGCTGCACTTGACCCATGAAAAGATTTGTAATGCATTTACGACTCACAAGAAAATACAATAATTGGCTTTCTGCTTTATATTTTACAGAGCAAAGGCAGTGACCATTAAAAAAGTACAGTGCTTTAAGTTTTTTAAAAGCTCACTGCATGTTTTTTTCCAAATTTCATTCGAAACCATGCTATTACCTTCGAGTGCAAATTGGAAAAAACTTGCGCGAGTGAGTTTTGGAAATAAGCTGCAAAGTTTAGAACTGTAGCCAGGGTCATTAAACAAAATCTTCTTAAAACCAACGCCAACCATTGTTAATGATTTTGTTAACATTAATTTAACTTCTGCGCTTTTAATTTCTTTTCAGAAATTGGTGCAAGTATTTTTTACTTTTTGCATTGGTATATTTACTAAATTGTACTGCTCTAAACCAATAAGAATTAAAAAATTTTCATGTACATTAAATAACTGCTTTTCTACTGTGCACATTTTCCTACTGCAATTGGAAATAAACTGCACTGCAATCAACTAATCACAGTCGAGAAATATTTAAAAGTATTTTATTGGAAATTATATTTTTGGATAGTTTTTTCAAATAATGATTATTGCAGTAAAACTAGTTCCAAAGTTTACCTCAATTTCTACAGTTCTTGTGAGTCGAATGAATAACGTATTTACCTAATTAGAAATCGCCTATTTAAATGAAAAGAAATTATTACAAGTTATACGACATTGCATGCGTCTTTACAAATAATATTTTAACAATCTCCAATTTTGAGCTTAAAATACTAAAAAATATCACAAAGCATTCCGAAAAACACAAAAAAATTTAATTTACACCATGATTGATAATGTATGAAGCACTGACTAAAATATTTCGGCCATCATAGTACTTTGGAATTTTGCAAAATCTCTCTCGGCTTTTAAATACATTTAATCACTTAGTAATATCACTAAAGTGCTTTTACTTATTATAGATCTTTCTTTAAAGGTATTACCAAGTCAATTACCGAGTCTGCAAACGAATATATTTCCGATAACAACATTCAGGAAAAATCTGTGAAAAAAGAACTTTTAGACCTTGTGGAAACTATGAATGCCATGGGATTGTCGGATGATTCAAAATTGAAGCGTACAACAATCAGTGAAATCAACTATCGTCATGGCAACGATATAACTGAGCATGGCCTTCGAATGTTGGAAAAGAAATTTGGGAAAAAATGCGCAGACTTTAAATCATTTCAAGAAGGTATTTTTTTACATTGTTCTCTCTTATAGCGGACATCAAATGTATAATAAAAGTCAATCATAAATGATATTGTGGCTAATCCAATTGATATCATTAAGTACTTTATCGTTCATGGTGAATAAACGTAATTTTGAAAAACTTGATGTCTGTTTCTTGTAGCTGAATTTATTGGTCAGGGATACAACCTTGTCACCGACGACGTTGTTTCATCTCGGGTTTTGAAACTACCTCTCGTTTATGATAAAGACTTTGGCTTTAAAATTCCTAAATGTGCACAAATATCATGGTTAAATGAAACTCTACTTAACGAAATACATCGACATAGGAATGAAAGTTCCATTAAATCACGCCTATGCGCCTTGGGGCTGGATATGAACATGACACCGAGTATATTAATGATGGTGCAAGGGTTTGATGTTGATCTCAAGTTTGGTGTAGGTTTCAGCATGCAGAAACAGGAAAATGATTTCCAATCTTCGACCAATAAAAGGCAGTTGAAAGAAGTAAGAATAGCAAAGATAAGTTTAGATGATATTGATTCGAACAAAATTGCTTTTACTAATGGGTTTCTGTCTGTAGTGGAAAATCTACCAACTGAAAATATCGAGGACGAGAATGTGATGAAGGAGTTTATGGATTTTTTCAATAGATTCGGTCAGTTTGTCATCACGTCTGCTTATGTGGGGGGATCAGTCGAATTTGATAGTCACTATGATACGACGAATTTCTCAAAACAAAATGAAAACAGTGTCGACAGTGATATTGGTGCATTTATTGGAAAAATTTCTGGTAAACGACAAACATCAGAGAACCAGGAAAACATCCAAGTCTCAAAAACTACATCGAGTTATTGGAGAGGTGGGCGTTTAGACTTGCAAGTTGATGGTGCGTTGCATTCAGAAGAAAAATTCTCGGAATGGAGGACATCTGTTGCTAAAGATCCAGTGTTTTTGAAAAATACATTGACATTGCAGCCAATTTACACGTTAGTTGGAATGATTGATGGAAAGAAAGGAAATCTTACCAAACAAGTGTTTCAAAAAATCTTTTATACTGAGGCTTCAAGTGTTTACAATCATGATTCCTACAAAAAAAGGAAGGAGCAGAAGCAAGCAAACAGAAATTCCAACACAAGAAATGGGTCGAGAAAAAAACCAAATATTCCTATATTGTCCAAAATGATCAAGACCATCAAAAAGTATTTAAAAAAATTTTCAATGTTACAATGTTGAAGCACACGAAAGCTCAATGGAAATATTTGCTAGGAAACAAAGGGTACACGCATGGACTTTTTTTATTTTTTATTCATCTTTTATAAGCAGGTTTTCCTGGAAATGGAAATGTTATTTACAACAATAACACAACAAATAATTTGCACAAGGTCATACTTCTTTCTCGCCTTCTTTATGTATCCGACATCTTTCTTTTTTCAAATTTACCTGTTCTTTTTTAATATGAGATAGAACATATTAAAGATTATTGTGATTGAATTTCGAATGTAGAATTTAAACAATATGTACTACAAAATGTACAACATGTACTATAAAATGAAACTACGTATTTTAGCTTTGCTTAGCAGTCAGCATCATGACAATCATTTGATGTGAAATGCTTTGAACACAAAACAAACTATAAACCAGGGTTTGCGATGAAAAATGATGATAAAAGATTTGAACACAGTTTTTCCATTCGTAAATAAATACATGCAGAAGAAGAATAATAGTTCAAACATAAATATATTAGCTAGTATTCTCTCATTCAATTACATAAAGAAAGCGGTCTCACGTGAGTACATCTGACGATTGGATATTCTGAGTTGTTTTGTTTCGAATAAAAATATCGGTTTTCGTCGTACAGACGTAAATGTGCTTTAAATTTGACAACAAGTTGTTGATTATACATTGAGAGAAGTTACAGATATGTTTAACTGCTTAGTGAGTTCATCCATTGTTCAATGATCAAGAAAACGTTGGCGTTGAATATTTAATTAAGATAAGCAATAAGTGCAAATAACATTATTATAAGATTCGCAATGAATTTTACTTTTAAGTACTTAAATCGGAAGACAGCGAAATGGCGCCAGCCAGCGATACGTCACCAGCGTCAGCACTTATGTCTATTGTATCTCCTATTAAAGCGTAATATTACATTTTCGACATAGTAATTTTTTACCCCTCTGCTCAATTGTTATAATGTTCTGCCTAATACATCAACTCAAACTTTATTTTCAAACATGCACAAAGATGCGTATGGTATTTCTGAAACTTTTTCAGCTTCGACAATAATTTTTCTTTTAATGAAGTGTAAAAAGTATAAATGATTAAAAAAACTAGAAAAGCTGTGGTTGTGTTTACTTTAAAATTAGGCAGTAATCGTGGCAATAGGAATTATAATTCAACATGTCCGCATGAAATGCTCACGTAAATATAAAATTACAAACTATATTACTTTAAAATATTACAACACGTTAAGCAATGTTACCTGAATTTAAAAATAGCAAATGTTGACCTTAAGAGCGATCGAAGAGATCAGACAATGCACATCTATATACGTGGCAAAATCGAAGCACTCTGTGTAAAGTTAAACTAAATATAGCTAGTATTTGCATGTCATTAAAATAACAAGGCCTGTGCGCATTCAATATCGAATCATTCGTTGTTATACATTCTGTATAGTGAATGTCAACATTGTGAAATAAATTCGAAAACATATTTATTAACGCTTTTACTGTATCATTAAATGATGAACAAAAGCATTAAAGCTAAAAAATGTCATTTACTCCGAATATGTTAGAAATGTTTTTAAAATAGCTCGTTTAACCACAGAATAATTATTTGCAGAAGGATCACTCAAGTGTACAACGTGTCCTCATGTCGGCCATTATTCCATCCAGATAATTAGGATTTCTAACTTGTTTCCAACCATTAAAATTACATGACGTCAATACTTAATAATGAATCTGAGTATATTTTGACTCAAGAAATGACTTGGGATTATTTTAAAGGTTGGGAAAAAGTCAAAAACCCTCATCATCTGGCTGGCATAATAGCGGCCACCACGCGCAGCACGACATGCGCGAAGACAAAAGTATCAAAGTTTCCGACACGAGTGACTCTTCTGTATATTCTTATTCTGTGGTTAAACCGTCAATACTAATACGCTTCCTTTCGTACGAGGCATTTTGCAAAACATGTTTGCATGCACACTTTCAAAGCCACCATTTTAATGGCTACAATAGATGGGGAATGTTTTGTTTTGCTACTGCTATCTGGAACTGTAGCATGTGAGATTTACATTGGACTTCAGTGGATTTGTGTGATTAAAAATGAGCTTGATATTATGACTAATGAGAAATGGAATGTGTAGAAAACATATATTAAGTTTGAGTATGCCCTAAAATGCTGAACAAGAAAAACAATCAGAAGAAGGAAACGTGTAGTTCGAGACAAATAATCTGTGACGTATATCGTTATAGATGCATAATAAAGGCTAGCTGTCTTAACTGTTTGAATGAAAATCATAAGACCACTCCATCAATTGCGAGAAAGTTGTTTTGTCAACCACGACGACACGGGAACAAGGAAGATTATATTGGAACGTAAACGTTTACTGTTTTGTTGGAAACACGCCGTGCTATTGAATGCAGCAACATAGATGAAATAGATGTAATAAGTCCGGGGTTTGAAATTATCTTTGATAAGAGTCAGACGAAATGAGAAACTGGCATGACTGCTACAAACTCCAGCGGTGTTTCCATGGTTATACATCCTTTGGTAACTGTGCGGGAAAATGACTACAAATTTCAGAGTTTAATTAAATTGCGCTGCCAGACACTCCTACGTGTCTCTAACTGTGCTATTCAACTGAGCAAACGGTAAGTCAGTTGGGGTACGACAGATTGAGATGTTTACTGGTGCAACCACCTAAAAGATGCAGGTTTATGACGTCCTGGTTGAGTCTCTCAACAGCGATTTCATTTTCAACATGATTATATTTTAACAAAGACAGGAAACGAGGAATTGCTCTTTCTTGTAAATCACTTTTATAAAAAAACTCTCAAGTTACTTTTAAAGACATTTACATGCATGAACTACTACAATCAGGTTACTTGTCTGAAGGGAACAAGAGGTCTGGGAACTGTTGTAAAAGCCAAGGTGGTAATGGCCATTGGTTCTACATTGACATTGATACCATAGTGGTTCACAGTACTGCACACTGCGTCCTAACTCTGCATTCCTCAATCAAAAAATATATAAATAAACGGTATCACTCAACGCTGTCTCAAATTGAACACATAGTCATGGCTCGTCAACACAAAAAATCCGCAATAGTGTTGACATTGCATGTCAAAAAAACCATTTTCTCTACCCCTTTCCAAAGAGGGTCCTGGTCGTTTAAGTCCACTACCCAGTTCACTCGACAGTTCAGTCGTGATTAGAACAGAATTATACAATAATATATTTAGATAAAATCATGACTGAGGAATCACGAGCATTGGTCACAAGTTAAAGTTAATTGATTTTAATGTGAAAGAAGAATTTGAAGAAGAATGCGGTGCAGTCCTTCCTCAATATGTTTACGTTTAATTAAATGCAATTTTCTATCAAAATTGAATTTTCTATCATTAAAAAGTCTCAATTTCAAATTCTAATTGTTCTTTCAGAAAAAGTTAATTTATAGAGATCGTGTAAATGGTTCGGCTAATTTATGCGTTCCTTTGTCACGATCGATTTTCTTAAGGTTGATTTTATCACTTAGATAGTAACATGTTTTACCCATATTAAAAAAATTCACTCATACTAACACTCACTGAGTGCGACGAAAAACCATACTCTATGTAATCATTGGCAAAGTTCTTTCTCCATCTATGGAAAAATTTTTTCCTTGATATTTCAAATCATACTATCAGTTAAGTGAAATTATGGTCATTGAGTAATTATGAAGTGATTTTGAAGCCCCACTCATTGAATGTGGGTGTGAGTGAGCTTTTAGAATACGTGCGTAACCGGTAACTTGGCTTACTGTAAGCAAAGCTAAAAAGATAGTTTTAGGGTTGATAATGATCTGACTTTGCAGTTTGTCCTTTTTAAGACGTTAGTCTCATTCACATAGCAAGACTACAAAGTACAAATATTACTTGTGGTGGTACATAATAAGTATCGTATCACCTGTCAATTTGTCAAATTTGGAACAGGAAATACAATTAAATATTTTGCAATCAGTTGTCAAGCGTTCGATTAGTCATTGTCAACACAATCAACACATATAGAATCGTTGCAAAAATAATCTTTTGCAAATAATTCAAGAAAAAACTAACAACAATAAACACGAGCTGTCCGTCCAAAAATAGCAATACAATTGTAATCGCTAAATTGTTGCCAATTTTGTCAGAGAGCTGTCTTGGACAGTTGGACGTGATTATTTGTCATCGTAAGATGTATCACAAAAAAGCAAATGATGATATTTTGAGTCAAACCAGTAGTAGCAAAATGTAATTCGGGTAAAATAACAAAAAATCTATTAAAGGTATCTACCTCTAACCTTTACTTCACAAGATTTTTGGTCCCTTGACCTTCAGTTTTGGATGGTTTCTATAAGTAATCCCATGCTTTTGTTAAGGGATTTTAGTAATTAAACGTCTCGCAAAGGGAGGAAGGTTTATTAAGTGTCCTCGGTTTGTGGAACATTTAATCACTGATATCCCTGAAAGCATGCGTTTACTTATAATAAAGTTTCGAAAATTATGTTTATGTGTAAAGTTATATTAGACATTTAAAATCAACGAAAGTTTTATTGCATACACGTTTTGGCATACTTATGCTATCTTCATTGCCTTTTTTGCAGAATGAATTAAATATTTAATACAGGTAGTTTACAATGGTATATACTGAACGCAAATAGACAAAAAAGATTTAAACTGTGAAAGTGCAATAGTGATGCTTCAAATTTTTTATTTGAAGGTTGACTTATTTTTTCAATCTAGCCAATGCATGATGAAAAGCATCACCAATTTTTGATAAAATGTATTTGATGTAGTCGAGCGTTTTCCTCGATCCTTTAGATGTCGGTTCTTCAACTTCACCTAGCCTTGTGTTAGAAGAACGTACTTTTTCTTGCTCCAGTTTCTTTCTCTCCGTTCGCGAATTTGCATTTGAAGAATCATCATTGTAAAGACTTGAAGTACTAGTCTGAAACATTTTTCGAAAGCTTGTTTGGTAAGATTTCCTTTCTTATTATCAATCATTCCAACTAACGTATAAATAGGCTGCAATGTTAATTTATGTTTTAAAAACACTGGATCATTAGCAACAGATCTTTTCCATTCATGGAATTTTTCTTTAACTTGCAAGTCTACACACCCACCTCTCCATTGAGAGGCTGGAATTTTTAAGACTTTGTTGCTTTCTGTATTTACTGATGTTTGTCCCACAATGTATGCACCAACACAACCGCCAACATTATTTTCATCTCGGTTTGACAGCTCTATGATGTCATTATAATTATCACATTCAACTGATCCCCCAACATATGCAGACGTGACGACAAACTGACCAAATTTATTGAAAAAATTTATGAACTCCTTCATCACTTTCTCGTTTTCGATATTTCCACTTGGAAGTTTTTCCACTGCAGACCGAAAGTCATCGGCAAAAGCAATTTTTTTCGAATCAATTTCATCAACATTCATCTTTGCTATTCTTACTTCTTTTAATATCTTTGTATTGGTTGAAGATCTTGAGTCATTTTCCTGACGCTTTATGCAGTAATTTACATCAAAATCTGGAGCCATAGTTAATATACTTGGTGCCATTTTTACATTTAGCCCCAAGCAATTGCAATTCTGCAAGATAGATAGACGCAGCAATTGCGATTCTGCAAGATAGATTTGGTCGAACCCAACAGATCATTGCCGCACATATGGACAAGATCCTACAAATATCTATATGTTCTAAAAATCGTACTGGGCAATTGAGATATGTTTTCGATCAAATAAGTGTTCAAGTGTGAGGACTTGATTCGCTTGGGGTATCTGCAAACCAGTACGGCAGTCTGCTAATACCAATTATTATGTCCAAACTACCGAGTAAAATAAGATTGCAGGTCGCACGAAAAGCTACGAAAAGGTGATGTTTGGCAAATTGACGAGTAGCTTAAAACCATAAAGTTTCAAGTTGAGGCACGTGAAATGAGGGAGTCATCGCGTTCGATTGAAAAAGCCCAGAACAAAGATAAGCCCAACAAGCCATCGACAGCTGGAACATTTGTAGTGACAAAAAATAATAAAGACGGTGGTGCCTGTAGCTTCAAGGTTAAATGCGTATACTGTCAAGGATCACATTATTCAGCATCTTGTGAAGAGGTAAAGGGAAGGGAAGCCCGAGTTAAAATTCTAAGGGACTCCAACCGTTGCTTTATTTGTCTGAAAAAGGGACACCAAGCAAGCAAGTGTATCGTCACAAGAAAATGTCGACATTGTTCCGGGAGGCATCACCAATCTATTTGCAGCAATCCTGCTACCAACAGTCAGGGTGTCCAAAATGAGAAGGCAATTGATAACACCAATCCACAGAAAGTATCAGAAGGTGTAACCTCTCCAACCACAACAGCTGTCACACGAACTGTCAAGAGAAGTGTTCTTTTGCAGACGGCCAGAGCTCTCGTATCAAATGGATCAAAATCAGTTCCAGCACGAATTCTATTTGACACTGGAAGCCAAAGTTCTTACATTCGAAGGTCACTTCAAGGTCAGTTAAAGTTAAATTCAATTGGTAAGGAGACACTTCAATTAAATACCTTTGGCCAAAGCAAGAGTAAACAAGAAAGCTGCGAAGTGTTCAAGGTGAGCATTGCAAGCAAGAGTGCAGGTGAGGTAGTAGAGATTAAAGCAATCGCATTTCCAACAATATGTGCACCACTTCCTACAAGAATAAATATAGACGAATATCCACATCTCCATGGTTTATAACTTGCAGACTTTGATTCTTCCGAAAGCAATGGTAGCTGTGATTCAATCGACATCTTGATAGGAGCTGATCATTATTGGGATGTAGTCACTGGTGATGTCGTACGAGGAAAAAATGGTCCAATAGCGATGAGCAGCAAATTGGGATGGCTTTTGTCTGGATGGTCATCACAAAATCAGACGGACATACTCTGAACAGCCTCATTTTAGCAGCTGACTACCTTGATAATTCTGCTGTCGTAACCGATAGGGATGAGTTAACAATATCACTGAAGCGTTTTTGTAAAAGTGAGAGCGTTGACATTGACTCCTTTGACTCAGAGAACTCACCCGAGGAACAAGATTTTGTGCGAAATATTCGATTCACTGGAACACGCTACGAAGTTGGTCTGCCGTGGAAAAATGATCATGTGCAAATTGATGACGATTACGAACTCTGTCATAATAGATTGCGATCATTGCATCAAAAACTGCTAAAGGATCCACAAAATCTTGAAGAATATATTAATGGTATTACTGAACAATTGGTAGCTGGAATAGTCGAAAGGGTTCCTGCATCTGATAAGGACTGTGGTAAAATTCACTATCTTCCCCATCATTGTGTCATACGAAAGGATAAGGTTACTACGAAGCTACGCGTTGTATATGATGGATCTGCTACGACGAACTTGCGCAACTTTTCACTAAACGATTGCTTACTGACCGGGCCGAACCTCATTCCACAAATCTTTGATTTGCTCGTCAAATTTCCACAAAACAAGATTGGGCTGGGTGGTGACATTGAAAAAGCATTCTTAATGATTGGAATTGACAAGGAAGATAGAGACATGCTTCGTTTTTTGTGGCTAAGGGATGCTAGGGATCCTCATTCAGAAGTATTAAAGCTAAGGTTTTGTCGATTGGTTTTTGGTCTACGACCTTCGCCAGCAATTCTAGGAGCTACTATCAACCATCATTTGAAGACACACGAGAAGCAGGAGCCAGAAACTGTTGAACACTTGAAAAATTCTCTATATGTTAATGATTTTGTGTCCGGTGCTGAAACCGATGAAACCGCTTTGCAAATATACAAGGGAACAAAGCAGTTGATGGCCAAGGGTGGATTCAACTGGCGAAAATGGATCTCGAATTCCAGTAACGTAGTGAAGTCTATCGAAGCGTTAGATGGTAACAAGAATTTGAGCTTGATTAGTGACAAGTCAAGTGTTATTCAAGATGATCAGTCCTTTACAAAGTCGGCAATTGCAAAAGAGTCACTGCTCACGGAACCCACTCAAGTCAAAGTACTAGGAATGGTGTGTGATACGGTGGAGGACACATTTTTGTTCAATTTGACTGAAATAATCGAGTACGCCAATTCATTACCTGTCACAAAGTGATCGTTGTTGAAATGGTCATCTAAAATCTTCGATCCCCTTGGATTCTTGTCTCCTTTTACGATAAGGCTCAAGATTCTGTTTCAAATCATGTGCTTGGATAGACTGGAATGGGACTGTGAACTGCATGGCAATCTACGTGAACAGTGGAACGTTTTATTGTCAGGGTTAAGGTTTCTAAATGATGTTCGTGTACCGAGGTGCTATTATCTACCCCAACCGAAATACTTTACTACACAAGTTCATGGATTCAGTGATGCCTCTGAAAGTGCAATTGGTGCTGTTGTCTATGTAAGAATAGTCTATGAGAATGGTACCATCGACGTGAAATTAATCGCTTCAAAGACAAAGGTTGCACCAGTGAAAAAGCAAACGATTCCCCGATTAGAGCTGGTGGCAGCGACTGTACTAGCAAAGTTAATAGAGTCTTTGTTAAAGGCACTCAAGTGGAGTCTGGAAGTTTTTTATTGGGTTGACTCGATGACAGCACTTCACTGGATACGAAACGATCGAGCATGGAAACCATTCGTGCAGCATCGAGTGAGCAAGATTCGAAGTATTTCGTTGACGGAATCTTGGAACTTTTGTCCTGGATCACTTAATCCTGCAGATTTACCCTCACGAGGTATTTCTGGGCAACTACTTTCGAATTCTTCCTTATGGTTCAACGGACCCAAATTCTTGGCAAGGGGCGAAGAAGAGTGGCCAAAACGTCCAGTTGGCAACCTATCACAAAGTGACAAAGTTCTGAGGGAAAATTGTGAAAGAGCATCCAAATGTCGTAAGATCACTAGTTTCGAATGAAATCAAACAACGAGCCATGCCAGATCTTAACAAAGCAATCGGCATGACTCGTTATAGCTCCATGAAGAAACTTCTTCGAACAACTGCTTATGTAATGAGATTCATCAACATGTTAAAGAAGATGCCACGGTGCAAGCAAATCTCCCAGTTATGTTTTTCTTATGTACAAGCTACTGGGGTGAATTGGAAAAAGGGTACACTTCAGGAAAAATACACTTTAACTACAATTAGTCGAGTGAATTACAGATCAGAAATCATAAAAATGCATGAACAATTTAATTTCAACCCATTTCAATACAGTAAATGCTTAATTAATATGTGTATTTCCAGCCTCTTCCAACTTTTGTCAGTTTAGGTTGAATATCTGTCTCAAAAACTTGCTTATAGAAAGCCGATACATGCTCTTTTTCTAAACTTTGGGGTTCACTAATGCCATATGGTTTTTCAAGGCACTAAACAAAGTATTCTTTGTTTTCTTTCTTCAACACTTTCCCTAAAAACACTTCACCCTCATATAATACCTTCACCCATTGTCCAATAGAAACATTACAGTATATCAGTTCGTTAAGTTCAGAGGGAATGATCTGTGTTGAATCAGTTTTCATTTCTTTACCATCATCATCACAAGTGGACTCTGTACCAGACATATCATTTTCATCAGATTCAGCTGGACATATTTCATCATCAGCAGTGTCAATTCGGAAGTCTTTAGCTGAAACACTTTTTCCTGGCTCAACATTCACTTTTTTCCTCTTGCCTGTTTTGGTAGGATTGTTGGATGAACGCATTGATCGCAATTGCTCAACCATAACATCTGAAACAGAAGTGTTTATATCTCCAGGTAGTGATTGATTAGGTAATTTTGTTAGCACCTCCTGGGCATTCAGAGGGTAAATTCCACAGGTTTTAAACCCTGAAACCAGGTTTGCATGGTTCAGATGCCCTTCCAACTGTTTTAAGAGTCAAGGAAAGGAATCTTTTGATAGTGTTGCCTGACCATGATTCTTAAATTTCCAGTCTTTTAAGATCTCCCACCATTTGCGCTTGAGAGGACCAAAGAAAGCAACATCAAGGGGTTGCAAAAAATGAGTGCTATTAGGTACTAAGCAAACAAACCGAATGTTTTCTTTTTCACACAATTTAAGTACATCACTGGTGAAGTGACTTGACAAGTTGTCTCCTATTATTACTTTAGGGCCTTCAATTTTCCTCGCCCATGGTAACACAATAGTACTGAACCAGTCATCAAAACATACTGCATCAAACCATCCACTTTTTGACCGATTGTATCGAGTATCTCGTGGTCCTCCTGTTGTCCAGCTACTCCATAGATTTACAGATTTGTAAACAACAAAGCTAGGTAGCAATTTACCAGATGCAGTTCCTGCAAACATAATGCTTATGCTACCTTTAGAATAATTTTGAATTCGTTCTGGATACTTTTTACCCCTTTTAAATATGAGTTTTTCCTGTCCTGGGTCATCAGACAAGTTTATTTCGTCATAATTAAGAATATTTTCAGCTGGTACATCTTGCACAACATAACTAAGATTGTCAAAGAATCGTTCGAAATCTTCTGGCTTTAATTGGGCACGAGAAGTTTTAATATTTTGGCAACTTCGTCGACTAAGCTTGTTGGAATGACGCTTTAAAAAGCTTCTAGCCCAGTCTTCCCCTGGGGTGTTATTTTTTAATTGTTTTACCTGACGGTTGGATTTATCCAAATACGCTTTCACTAACATTTGCAAAAGGAAATCCCCATTCTGCTACAACAATAAGATGTCTGACAAAAGATTCTTCTTCTTCTGAGGATAATCCTGGTGGGTGTCCGATTGGTTTCATTTGTATACCTTTAAACTTTCGATGTAAAGTGGACTTTGGGATGTTAAAAAGTGTAGAAGCTTTTCGAATTGACATCCCTCCTTGAACTGCTTCAACTGCATTTTTTAAAGCGTCTTCTGCATAATCGCCATACCTTTTATTTTTAGAGCCAATCACCTTTTTGTAAGTTCTCATATTTGCATAACTATCGTATTTCAATTCTTAGTCGCAACTAAGTAACATACAACATGGCAGCCTTCGAAGCAGTGCCACATGGCAGAGCTTTGAAGAAAAAGGTACAAGAGGTGTGGTTCATCCATGGATGTCCCAAATTACCCTGTGCAAACCTCTAAGTCAACAACTATCCTCTGACGAAAATACTAGTCCTCAGAAAACTAAACCTTTCATCTTAGATTTCAAAGAGATACGTAGTGTAACAAAAATTACAGTGTTTGTAAATTTTACTATTTTGGAAGCGTCGCAACAGCACAATTTTTTTCGTGTCTTGAAAAATGTAGCAAATTCAACAAATATCAAAAATACAAGAACCATGAGATAAAATATTACTATTCAAATGTTTCACTCAACTGAGCAAAGAAAAAAAGCTTACTGGCTTTGTGCAAAAGGAATTTTTTAAATAAATCAACTGAGTGCTTGTCAAAGAGTATGGAATGCAAAGCATTAAATATTCGTCCCAATTTACACCACTGTCCCAAATAACCCAGTTGACGGTAATTAAAGACATGTTGGTTACATTTTGTTTGTATTTGCAAATACAATGCTACTAGTGATTGCTATATAGCACACCTTGCAGAAGATAATAGTCTAGTTGAATGCATAATAAACATTTATGGCATTAAGCTGACCTTAACTGCAAATTTTCACTCTGATAATTTTTGCTTAATCTTTGGCAGAAGAAAACTTTGAGTTTTTTCTCAAAAGGTGAATTTGCTGGCACTGATGTGGAGATGGATAAAGGGTAACAATGAACTTGCATGGTTTGAAGTCTGAGCTTTTCTATATCTATGAAATGTCACTTATAGTACCAAATTTCTTAACTCATTACATAGAGGTTTGAAGGGGGTCTATGCCTGACAACTTGGTAGAAATTTTTAAAGAATATACCTGTTTTTGAATAGCATTATTGTAAATTGAATTTTACGTTCCTAGACATGCTAATGCACCATATATTTGGCGTGATAATGAGCCTAAATATTTGGCAAAACATTCAAGTATTGTTCACTTCATATTTTTTTTGAAAAAAACCTAAGCAAAATGTGTTGTTTTTATGTAAAAATGATGCCCACAAAATACATTTTGTATTGCTCTCTCTAAAACGCTGAAAATGGCATTCTCAAGGCTCTGAAATTCAAAATTTCTCCGGGGAGAATGCCTCAGACCCGCCCTCAGGTGCGGAGCGCCTCCGACGTTTTATGACTGATGTTTGAAAAATCCTAGATCCGCCCCTTGTAACCCTCGTAGCAACACTACTATTCAAAGGCACAAATTCTTCACATATCGTCAAGCAGAAGGTCAGTCATTCAATGATTTTGTAACCAAACTTAAAAAACTTAGTGCTGACTGTGAATTTGATGTACTCAAGGATTCCCTTATTAAAGATATGATCATCTGTGGTGTCACTGATAATTGGCTTCGTGAGCGCATGCCTCGGGAGCCTAAAATTGACCTTAAAAAGGTTGTAGAGCTTGGTCATGCCGCAGAGCAAACTAAACTACATGCTCGACAACTGGCTAGTCCTACCGAGTAACGTGTTGAACTCGTCAACAAATATAAGAAACAACAACCCCAGGCTCATTCCTCAGGATCAGTAGAAAATAGTGCTCAACTGATCAGAAACTGCAAATTTTTTGCAGGTAGTCATTTACGTGGGAACTGCCCCGCGTATGGCGAAAAGTGTAGCAAATGTCACAGAAGGAATCATTTTGCCAGATGCTGTACACAGAAGATTGACAAGATAAATAATGATCAAAAAAATCCTTCACTTGATTCCTCTGATGACAATGACTTTCTACTAGACAGTATTATTGTCACCAAGTCTGATGTCTTCCCACGTCACCAGGATGATCTACAGGTCAACACAGTAAGCAGTGATGTTGCGACAGGACACTGGTCAGTCACTTTCCATGCTGGGTCCTGTGATATTATGTGTAAAATCGATACAGGAGCCCATGTAAATGTCTTACTCAAAAATATTTACAAAAAATTAAAGCCTCGTCCAACAATAAAAAGCATAACAAATAAACTGTCTGCATACAATGGTCCTCCAATACCTGTCCATGGCAAATGCATCATTCCCGTGAATCATAAAGGACAGAAGTACCAACTCTTATTCATCATAGTGGACTCCGATACTACAC